AGAGAGAGAGAGAGAGAGAGAGAGAGAGAGAACATTTTTCAAAAAAGAAATACTCCACTGCTATCATGAAGCTTATATACTAGAGATAGGAAAGAAATAGATACAATGCCAGAGAGTAATAAATGCCATGCTATGTGATACTTTTTATGCCTAAAAAGAGGAAAGCATTTTAATTGATATGGATTGTTTCTTTAGATAACATAATCAGAGTCAGTTTCTCTGAAGGGGCAACATTTAATTTGAATGGAGTTACTGAGCCTATTTCATGAACTGAGACTTAGAACCTGAATATTTTTAAATGAAGGGTAGCCACTAAATGCATCAGTAATTTATCAACCCGTGTTTACTCCACAACATTGTGCTACAGTAACAACCACCAGACTATTTAAAGACCTTTGTCTTTAAGAAGGCTGTAGTTTCTAACTTTAGAAAATGCAGATACTGGGGGCTGGGGAGATGGCTCAGTGGAATAAGTGCTTCCCTGGCAAGCACAAGGGCCTGAGTTCAATCCCCAGTTCCGAGAAAAAAAAAAAAAAAAAAAAAAAAAAAAAAAAAACAGAAAAAGAAAAAGAAAATGCAGATACTTCCAGCTACACCTTGCATCTGAAATATTCTCTATTTTGGCTTGGATCAAAGTCATGTATTCACAAGTGGGGCTTTGGGAAAGTGATCAAATCATGGGGCATTAACCTCATCAAGGCCGATATGCTGCTAGGAAGCAGGGCCTAGCTGGAGAAAGCATGTAGCTGGAGGTGTAACAGCAAAGCTCTCTGTGCTTCACTTTGCATTGCTTCTCCTTACTTCTCTCCCTGGCTCCTCTTCCTGGCTGTATGAGGTGAGATGCTTTCCCTGTCATGCCCTTCTGCTAAACTGTTTATACCCTGGAGCCAGTGGCCATGGACTGAGACCACTGAAACTGTGAACCAAAGGCAGAAAGCAGATTAACATCAGGTTACTTAAAAGAGTTACCTTAAAAGAGTTAATGCAGAGGGAAATCACCTAATTTTGCTGACTCAGGTTGACTGAATCCTTTCCAATTGGTAGTTTAGAATATCCTGTTTGAGGTTTGAGGACTGCTTTGTTTCTTTAAAATTTGATCATCTAGTACTTAGTGCCAACAACTACATTTTGTATTGGTTTGGGCAGGAGTTCAACTCATAAGCAAAGGTCTTCCACAAACTTTGTTTCACAGGGAGAAAAAAATATTTGTTTAGTAAACAAAACTCATTGGCCAGCTTTGTCACACAACACAACCGTCACAAGTGTAGAACTCATACTAGGTAAACATCTTTTAAACCGCATTTTTGTTTTCTTCAGAAACGAATGCATGCAAAAATCTTAGTTTCAAAAGCTATAGAATGAAGTAACAGTAATAAGGAAACAAAGGAGAAGAAACATGATTTAAAAAGTGGGAGGCAACCAATGGGTATGTAAGACAATATTCACATAGACGGCTTAGGGATTGGAGTCTAATAACTGCTGTCCTTACACGACAGCATTTCTAGTGGATCTTTGAGTTTTCCTACAAAAACGAGGAGATGCCCTAACCAACCTGAAGGGGTCCAACCTATCTGAGTCAACATTTCCAAACCTTTTTAACTTTACCAGGAAAGCGCCTCTGAAACCCCAACGGCACAGTTCCCACACACGCTCCCTGTGGCCTATAAAGCCAAGCAAGTTGTGGGGCCACTGTTTCACAGAATGCGAGGGTACCTGGACTCATGAATCAGAGACAAAGGCCGACTCAAGCTGTCAGGTCGTGGTACTCTTCCCAATAACTTGTGTTATGGCGATTTCCACGTTCCTCTGCCTCTGGCCAACTGGCCGGGCCAGGGTGCAGCCACCCACTCTTCCCTAACATCAGGAGCAACAGCTAGCTGCTAAGCGCTGGAGCCTCCCTCGTCGGCCGGGATCAAGGCTCCGGCCCACGGTTACTAGCCTAGGGTATCCATTTCCCTCAGGGAAGTGCATGGTGTTTAAAAACTTTTACATAAGACGCCGCCACAGCCAGTTAGAAAGCAAGGCAACACACTTGTTACCTCCAGCGACGCACTCCAGTTCCCGCCCCACCCTCAGTCGCGAGCAGGCGAGGCGGCGCGGCCCGGGGCGCGGCGTCACGTGACCGCGGGGCGGAGTCACGCGAGAGCGGAGGACGGTGAGCGGCCGAGTCGCGCGATGTGCCGTCATATCAGCTTATGGCCCCGGCCGCTGATTGGCTGCCGCGCCTGCGTCGGGCACAGGCTCCGCTGGGGCGTCTGGGCGGGCCCCGCCAGCCTCTGCGCGCTGCCGGGCTGCGAGGTGTGGGAGGGCTTGCATCCTGAGCAGGTAGCCTTGAGCGCCGCGCTGCTGGGGCGTGGGAGCGCGAGACAGCGCCCGGGAGTCTTCTGCGCAGCGTCGCGGGGCTCTCGCTGGCCTGCTGGACGCCGGGCCGGGACGCGGTGCGCGGACGCCTCCGGGAGCGCGGGCTGCGGGTCGAGGACGGGCGCGAGGC